GGTCCCGCGGCCAGCGGCGCAAGATGGCCCAGGAGAACCCCAAGATGCACAACTCGGAGATCAGCAAGCGCCTGGGCGCCGAGTGGAAGCTGCTCTCCGAGGCGGAGAAGCGCCCCTACATCGACGAAGCCAAGAGGCTGCGGGCGCAGCACATGAAGGAGCATCCCGACTACAAGTACAGACCCCGGCGCAAGCCCAAGAACCTGCTCAAAAAGGACAGGTATGTCTTCCCTTTGCCTTACCTCGGGGAAACCGATCCTTTAAAGGCCGCCGGGCTTCCCGTGGGGGCCACTGACTCTCTGCTGAGCTCCCCGGAGAAGGCCAGGGCTTTCCTGCCCCCCACCTCAGCACCTTACTCCTTACTTGACCCCAGCCAGTTCAGCTCCAGCGCCATTCAGAAGATGACTGAGGTTCCTCACACCTTAGCCACCAGCACCCTGCCCTACGCCTCCACCTTGGGATACCAGAACGGGGCGTTTGGCAGCTTGAGCTGTCCCAGTCAACACACCCATACTCACCCCTCGCCAACTAACCCGGGCTATGTCGTGCCATGTAACTGTACGGCTTGGTCGGCATCCAGTTTGCAGCCTCCAGTTGCCTACATATTATTCCCAGGCATGACCAAGACTGGGATAGACCCCTATTCTTCAGCACATGCGACTGCTATGTAACACCCATCCACATCCCCACAGGCGTCCCGTCCCGTCCCCCCCTCTACGAGGGTTGCAGCTGGAACTGGGATTCATTTATATGCATGTACATTTAAAAAAAAAAAAAAAAAAAAAAAAAAAGCTGCGGAAGCAAAACTAAAATGCCACCCGGAGCGGGACGCTGCTGCCGGGCACCGTGCTGGGACGCCCACGGACGCTTCCTCGGGGACTCGGGGACGCTCTCGCTCCAGCTGAGAAAGTCGTCTCCAAACTCGGGGTGGGGGGGATAGGAGCCCGACACTTGCGGGAGTTGTAAATGTGTCAAAACCACCACCACGAACAACAACAACATAAAGAGCAAACCTCGAACTGCCCTTTTGGGATGGAAGCGGAAAAAAAAAAAGGGAAAAAAGAGAGAGAGAGAGAGAGAGGCGGTTTCGATTTTTATTTATTCTCTTAATGTATATGAGTTCTCTAGAGTCTCATGTCACTCGGACTTGACTTTGGGAAGTCCCGGTCTTACTAGGATTTTTTTCTTCCTTTTGCACATTTAAAAAAAAAAAAGATGAGATCAACTGTGTTATATATATAAATATATATATATTTTGCCACCACGCACTACTAGGTGAAATTGCTTTTCATGTCAGAAGAAAAAAAAAGCTCTTCAAAGCTAAAAAGAAAAAAAAAGAGGGGGAGAAACATTTATATTTAAAACATATGATAGTGTTTGCTTAATTTAAAACAGATAGTCCTTAAATTTGTGTGATCCAGTGAGACTAGATCTAAGTTTACTTTAGACAGAGCGTCAGGTATGAAGTCAGGCAGTAGAACTGTAAAAAAATATTAATAATACTACTAATAATAACTAAAAAAAACAAAAGAATAAAAATGCTGGTAATTTAAATATGTTTTCACAATGTCTTGGGGGAAAAAGAAATTGTATCCGGCAGGATTTTACCTCGTTAAATCTTTTCATTTGTTGAACAAAGACGTTTTGAATAAAGACAATCTGTCGTTAAACGAGGCAGCTACGTGGTGTAAATGCCGTGCCCCGCTTTACGAGCCCCCTCTCACCTCGCCTCGACAGGGCGGCTGGGCTGCCCGGCGGGACGCATGGGACCGGGCCGGGTCCTTCCCCGACGGGACGCACCGGGCAGGACTCTGTCC